GTGGTATTATTGTTATACATATTACCTCTATAAATATTACAAACCCAATGATACGTTGCTATAATTATTACTTCATATAATTGTTTGACTTTTAAGGAAGATGAGAGAAGAAAGGAGAGCAAATTTATACTTAGAGCTTTTGTTATATTAACCATCTTATTTATACTTTCTGTTTCTCTTCATTTGTTCTTGTGGATTCAAATTACCATCTGGAATCATGTCCTTAGCCCAACAGAGCTTTGCTCTCACTCACCTCCTTTGTGCTATTATTGGTAAATATATCACATTTGTATGTGTATAGGTTCAAAAATACATTATATACATATTGTTTTATACCACTGCTTTTAAAATAAGGTATGAGAAGATTGGAGAAGAAATATGCATTTATATTTAGTTTTATAATTACGTAATTTCCTTTTTGTTTTTTTGTGCGTTCATTCGAATTACTCTCTGGGATCTGGGGCCACCTGCTTTCAGTTTAAGGTACTTTCTTTAGTGTTTATTATAATCTTGGTCTTCCAGCAGCAAAGTCTCTTAGCTTTTGTTTATCTGGGAATGTCTTATTTGTCTTTGTTTCTGAAAGTTAGTTTTGCTGGATATAGGATTCTTGGTTGACAGGTTTTTTCTTTGAGCATTTTTAATATCTTATCCCACCACTTTCTAGCTTCTGTTGTTTCTGCTAATAAGTCAGCTGTTAGTTTTATAAGATTTCCCTTGTAATTGATGAGTGGTTTTTCTATTGCTGCTTTTAAGATTTTCTCCTTGTCTGTGACTTTCAGCTTTTATGCTATGATATATGTATTTGTAGATATCTTTGTGTTGATTCTACTTGGAATTTGTTGAGCTCATCATCATACAACCTTGATGTATAGGTTAGTGTTTTTTAATAAATTTAGGAAGTTTTCAGTCATTCTTTTTTGAGTATTTTTTTTTACCCCATTATCTCTCTTCTCCTTCTGGTACTGCCATTATACATATATTAGTGTTGCTTAATCATTTCCCACATTTCTCTGAGGCTCTGTTGCTTTTTCTTCATTTGTTTTCCTCTCTAGTCTTCAGATTGCATAATATCTATATCAGTCTTTCTTTAAGTTTGCTATTCTTTCTTCTGCCAGGTCACATCTGTTGAGCCCCTCTAGTGAATTTTTCATTTTGGTTATCATACTTTTTCAACTGTAGAAATTCCATTTGATTTTTTTAATAATACTTCTCTTTTTTGATAATCTTTAATGATGTGACATTGTCATCCTATCTTCCTTTACTTTTAAGATCATTTGTTAGTCTTTTGAACACATTTATAATGGCTACTTCGAAGTTTTGTCTGGTAAATCTGACATCTGGTCACTGTTACAGGGAGTTTGCCCCCCCCCCCCATTATGTGGGTATTAACTTTCCTATTTTGTTGCATATATCAGAATTTTTTTGTTGCAAAGTGGAGATAGTTTAGATAATATATTGTAGCAACTCTGTATACATTCCCCCCCCCCCCCCACCCCGTTTGCTACTGTTATTTGCTTGTTTATTTGTTTAGGGAGGTGTGTTTCCTACCACATACCCCCTTTTCAGTCTTAACCCTTTGATGTTGTTCCTATGGGGTTACAGTCTTAGGTGTGTACACAGTTCCTTGGGATGATAGTTTGACAGTGTCATCTCAAGGAATATTGGCAGGACTCTCTTTTTCCCTGACCATACCTGTTAAGGGTCACTAATTGCAGGCTGGTTGTGTTATTATTTTCAATAGTGCTCTGGGGCATAAACTGCTCTATGGATTAATCCAATCAAATTCAGGCTCTTTAGAAGGGATAATTCTCAAGGTTTGTGTTTGAGATTTTTTTTTCTGAGCCCAGGAGGGGGTCCTCCCCACTGTCTTTTTAGGTAAACTAGATGACCTACAGTTTAACCTGTATGTCCAGTGAATCTACCTGTGTCCTCCCAGTTGCTTTTCCCCCAATTTTTTCACTGTTTTTGAGAGTATCCTTAGGCTTGAACTTCTTCATGCTCTGTTGCTAATAAAGTCATTTCCTTTGGAAAGAGATTAGGAGTTTATCTGCTGTATGACATGTTTCTCTCCCCAGGCAGAATCTCTGAACCATAGCTCTGGAGGTGGTGGTGGGGACAATGGCATACTTATCACTGAGTGACACCCCTGCTTTAGGAGCTGAATGCTTACTGGAAATGAAGAAGAAAAGGTTGTCTAAGTTTGCATTTCTTGGCAAGAAACCATCCCTTTACAAGTCAGGGCAAAGGTGATTGGGACCTCAGTATTAGTGCTCTGCGTTCAAGGTAGAGTCTGTCCTGCCAGTTGGGGCTGGGAGCAAGTAGTGAGCTCCAGCTCTTAGCTGCACTTGCCTGGACTTAGCCTCCAGAAAACGTAGGTGGGGTTTGGGTGCTACATGATGTCAAACTATAGCAACAGAAAGAGATTCTCCAAAGATAATGAGTTTATTTGGTAAAGAGCAGAAGGTGTGCCATGGCACCCCATGGGGGGCAATGGGTTTACCCAGGGAGACAAAGGAAAGCAGAGGCTTTTAAAGGCAATATGAGGAGGTTTACATTAAGTTATTTTAAAATAATAATCCTTGACTATAAGAATTAATAAGGGTGGCATCAATCTAAGGTTGACCAGGAAGTTTCTGGGTAGATGTTCTTATAGAGGTGGGCTTTGTGCAAGGTTATAGTCCTTTGTGCAAGGTTGTGGTTTGGTGAAATCTTTTGTAACAGTTGCTGTTCTCAGGCAAGTTGTACATGAACCTTCCCCCATCCCTCCATGGCCGGGCACCATTTAGTTTGGTTTTGACTCCATTTTGGTACTGAAAACTTTCACAATGGACTAGGATCAAAGATTTTTCTGAAGTTAAGGAAGTCTTCAGGTAAATATCCAAGAGAAAGGAAAACATATGTCCACACAAAAACTTGTACACATATATTCATAGTAGCATTATTTATAGTAGTCAAAACATGGAAACTTAAATGTCCATCAACTGAAGAATGGATAAACAAAATGTGTTATACCATACAGTGGAATAGTATGTGGCAATTAAAAAGGAATGAAATACTAATATAGGCTTTGACACGGATGAATGTTGAAAACATTATGGTAAGTGATATAAACCAGTCATGAGGCCACATATTGTGAGATTTCTTTCATATGAAATGTCCAGAATAGGCAAATCTATGTAGACAGAAAATAGATTTGTGGTTGACTAGGGATAGAGCATGGGAGGGAAAATGAGGAGTGACTGTTTAATGGATATGGGTTTCTTTTTGGGGGTGATGAAAATGTTCTAAATTTAGGTTGTAGTGATTGTTTTACGTATCTATGAATATACTAAAAAACCATTGAATTTTACAATTTAAATGGGGGAATTTTATTGTCTGTAAATAATATCTTAATGAGGATGCCAAAACAAATCACTTTTATTATTTTTTAATCACTTTTTAACTTAATTACTTTTTTTTTTTTTTTTTGTCTTTTTCCGTGTCCGGCAATGGATCGCAACCCTCTGTGTTGCCCCCGTACCGGACCGGGGACCGGCAACGGGATTGCAACCCTCGGTGTTGCTCCCGCGCCTCGCTCAGCCAGTGAGTGGGAACCGGTCTGTATGTGGGATCCGAACCCTCGGGCGGGAGCGCCGCCGCGCTTCCCAAGCGGCGCACTTATCCAGTGCGCCACCGGGCCAGCCCTAACTTAATCACTTTTTTATTTTTAAATTTTACAACACATATCTGTTTTATATTAAAATATTAATTGGGCCAACCTTGCCAAGCTTTTGTGATTATGCAAGTCATAGGAGGGTCATATTTTATAATTTTGGTTGGAAATTTTGTATATGTAGTGAATATATTGTGATGTAATTTGCTTTTCATGGACTCAGTAGTTCTTAAGCATGTGTTATATATTGCCAAGTTGTTTTAGGTATGTTATAAATTGGCTGGAAGCTTTGATTTTTGTGATGCTTTTTATTTCTAGTGTTATAATTAAATTCTGCAGTTTCAAAGATATCCCCCTCTGTTTACTTTTTTTTTTAACGGTTCTCAGAAAATTTGCCAACAGCCTTATTAACTTCTACTATTTGTCCATCAGAAACTACTAACTTGAAAAGCTTCACTTTGTGAATACAATCATTTTTAACCATTCCTCTTCAAATATTTTAGCATAGATATTTAGGTCACATGGTTATATATTTAACTTCTTTTTATCCCCTCTCTGTTTAGTCCCCCACTCTCGAATATAATAAAGAAAAGAATATTTGTTTCATTGGTGTTCCTCTTGTTCTAGACATTTATGATAACTGTTTTGTTTTTGAATATCTGTTTGTTTGTTTGTTTTATGATGGCATCTCAATAATGCCTTTGTCTTTTCTTGGTATTAATTCTTAGAGGAAAAGACAAGATAATATTTTCTCAAATTTCTTCTATTATCTTAAGTTCTCACAGAAGGTTAGGTTCTTTTTGCCCCAATAAATTGTTTTCACAGTGTAATGCCTTTGTCTTTTCTTGGTATTAATTCTTAGAGGAAAAGACAAGATAATATTTTCTCAAATTTCTTTTATTATCTTAAGTTCTCACAGAAGGTTAGGTTCTTTTTGCCCCAATAAATTGTTTTCACAGTAAAAATAGGCACAAATATTAAACTTACTTTTGCCTGAATACATATGAGATATAAAAATTGTTTTTCAAATTTTTATTTTTTTAATAAATTGTAATACTTTAAAAGCTATTTAAAAGTAACCTTTTTGGAGAAAGGTTACTTAAAAGTGTTTTAAAATATTTATATATAACTAAGAAAAGCATATTCCAAAAACTTTTTTGGGAAATTTTAAAATCTACTTAATTTTTTCTAAAAATACTTGAGTAGCCATTATTCCCCAGTAGAATAGATTAAATAGATTTAAACATGAATAATGGAATGAACTAATAGGATAATTAGATTAAATAGATTTAAATATGATTTAGAAAATTGTCATGTGATATATTGGATATTCCCCCTTCTTTTTCAGGAACTCTTGGTGTAATAACAGAAGCTACAATAAAAATCAGACCAATCCCTGAATACCAAAAGTATGGCTCCGTAGCTTTCCCTAATTTTGAACAAGGAGTAGCCTGTTTAAGAGAAATTGCAAAACAGGTAAAAATAAAAAAAAAAGAAAAGAGCAAATATATATATATTTATATTTTTAAAATTCTACTGCATAATTGATTGTGATATGTTATAAATAATCTTCATATTTAGTTATGTTATATTTGTGGTCTTTACACAGTTCTGTATGAAAAGGTAGTATTATAAAATTATCCCTTTAAGTGCAGCTGCTATTTCTTTCAGTAATTATATTGCTGTTACACCTATTTCTTGGTTTAAAGAGGGCTTTATGATTTTAAGCCAAGGTAAGATATGTACTTGGACTGATGGCTTCGGACGACTGTACCTTTTGTTGAATGTTATGTTTCTTAAGTTATTTTGGGGTAAAATATTTTGTGATTAATTGAAATGATATTTAATTTATCTTAAATTAAGACATTTATTGAAATTAAAGTAATGGCTGAATATCAATGACAGCAAAGTTTAGAAATTAAATGTAGGTAATCAAACTTCAATTCATAGAATGTGCTGCTACTAGGCTCTACTTTATGCCATTATCTAAGCTATGGCTTAAATTAAGTAACATAATATAGTATATATATATATAATATAATATATTTAGCAATAAGCTAAAAAGAATTCCCATTTTTGTCTCAAAAAAGAGATATACTATCAAGATTTTTAAAAAACCTAGATAATGCTAAGTAATTTTATTCCTGTGTTTAGTTCTGTGTATCAATGTAGAAATTCCTGCACTTCTTTAGACATTTGGTTCATTGTTTGAAATACAGTGGTTTATGAAGAGTACTTATTTCAACATTTCCCAGTAGGGAGGCAGTCAAGGGACTTCATATTCCAGCCTCTTTCTTCTTGCTTTCTCCATACTCCCAGAGTTTATTTTAATACTTCCCATTAGCTATACCCAAGTAGAATCTTGAGGGCAAGGGAGGTTTTTGATGTGTCTCATGTAGGCCAACTTCTGGTATCCAGAGCAGAATGGAGGGAGAATCTGATAAGGCAGAGGAAGAATAAGTAGTCCATGTTCATCTTGGACTTTTTAAGATACTGAAATGGAAAGTGGTAAAGAGTCTCATCTTCCACCATCCTAAGACAAGAACTGTTAATGTTTTTTAAAAATTATATTTACCCATATGTATATTATTTCCAGTGCTCTTTATTCCAATATATTCAGTTTTGCTTTCTGAAACACTCATTCTGTCTGGCAGTTTCTCATTTTCAAGAAATCCAGGTATATGATCACCTAATTTAACAGTTGACAAGGATAAGTTATATAATTTTCAAGTTGCTTTAGTTATTTACCACTTGGATTTGCTAGACTTAGCATAGACCCCTTAATCTTGATTGCCTGTCTACTCCTGGGTAGGGAGAGGACTTAAAAAGAAGTATGGTCTTGGAATGAACATTCTTGGACTTATGGCAAGTTACTTTTGGGGGTGTTAAACAGAAGTGAATGCTAATAGTTGAAATCCTTGTATAAGACCTCCTAATTCACTAGAGCTTTGGGGATATTGTGTTATGATTAGGGAGCTAGAGTAGAGAATAGTACAACATGTTTGTTAAAATGATGAGATGACAGTAATATTTAAAACAGGATTATTAAGTAAAGGGGGAGTAGAGATAAGTTTTAGGAATAAATAATATTTGTTATACTAAAATAAGTTCTTAGCACTGAGCACTGAAGTTCAAGTATGTTTTGTTACTTGTTTTTAAAACCTTCCATTCACTTAAAGGCCAAGGAAAGTAACTTCAAATTTAGTACATCTCAGGTATTAAGAAATAAGAGAACTACTTTCAGAGCCTTATGGTTTTGCCTGTGAGATAATACTGAGAAGAATGGGAAGTTAGGGTTTTTTTGTTTCTGTTTTCGCTTTTTTAGAAAATAACTAGAAGTTCACCAGTTAAAAAATAAAACAAAAACAAGTGTTTCTATAAGTAGATTATATTTTATTGTTTAATTTCAAGTCTTTCCTAATGAGTGGGGGGTTTTTTGTTCATGTCTTTTCACTTTATATTGTAATTTATCCTTTCTGTTAAATATTTTCATTTTTATTTATTTTCCCTGTATTTTTGTCAAGGTTGACTATTTCCCTCTAAAAAGTTTTATTAAAGATATAGTTCATATCTGTTGTTCAACTTTTGAATAACATATTTCTAATTAATCATTATTTCTTCCATTTTTATGGCAAAATAAACATGATTTGTATTTGTTTTCAACAAAAGGTCTTAATGAGGTCAAGTTTAGTTTGTGTTGGCCTACTATGCCTCTTCATAGCATCTCCCCTCTGTAGAACACAGATTTAGTAGATTCATTAAAAAGTGTTGTTATATGGTCTTTGGAATTGAGGTGTACATATTTTATGCTTTCCTGAGTGATCCATCTGCTTTTCCACATTGCACATACTCACATGTAAGTCTATCTTAGGTTTCATTAATGAGAAGTGACATACAAATGTATCAAAATCCTAAGTTTAGGGGATCAAGCCCATGGTGCCCTCGGGAGTGTGTGCGGCGCTGGGAGCACAGTGTTGCTCCCGCTGCGGGTTCGGATCCTATGTAGGAATGGCCGGTGCGCTCACTGGCTGAGCGCGGTGCAGACAACAACACAACAAGGGATGCGATCCCCTTACTGGTCACGAAAAAGACATACATACATACATACATACATAAACAAACAAACAAACAAAACAAACGAGCTTATTAAAAAAAAAAACCTAAGTTTATAATTTCATTAGAATGGAAAAATGTTGAATTGAAACAAATAGTTGGTAAAATCTGATACAGTTCTTGTTATAATTTGATATGCCTCTGATAGGAAGTAATAAGAACTAACTGTGCTACTGAAAAGCAGGGGATGGAACTTTCCTTCATCCTCATGTAAATCAGTAAAACTTGCCCTTTTATTTATCTAAAGATATTCCTTGGATACTCAGCCAATGATCATAATTTAAATTCACTATACGAAACTGTTGGATATATATCTTGGAATAAATAAGGTAATGATTGATAGAAAGAGCTGCCATGTGGTTAAAAAGCAGGTCAAAAAGAAAGCTCCTTTCTAGTCTATAGCTTTAGCAATTTGGTTCTGCATACTTAGTAATGAACAATTTTTAGAGACATAAATACAATGGACAAGAAAGCTTACCTTACTTGAAACTGATTAAAAAGTCCGGATATGGGGCCGGCCCGGTGGCGCACTGGATAGTGCGCCGCTTGGGAAGCGTGGTGGTGCTCCCGCCCGAGGGTTCGGATCCCACATACAGACCGGTTCCCGCTCACTGGCTGAGCGAGGCGCGTGAGTTTAGATCATAATTTGGGAAGAAGTAGATCATTCTGGGTTTTTTTTTTTTTTCCCCTTTTTGTCTTTTTTCATGTCCAGCAACGGATCGCAACCCTCAGTGTCGCGCCCGTACTGGACGGGGACCGGCAACGGGATCGCTAACCTCGGTGTTGCTCCCGCACCTTGCTCAGCCAGTGAGCGGGAACCGGTCTGTATGTGGGATCCGAACCCTCGGCGGGAGCGCCACCGCGCTCCCAAGCGGCACACTGTAGCAGTGCGCCACCGGGCCGGCCCGATCATTCTGTTTTGAACTTAATTTATCCTGGAGAGGTTAAAATAAATCGAAAGGAGTTAGATTTAGCAGTTACCTTATAAAACACTTCAAAGTTCTTCGTATTCAGGAGTAACTCTTGTTATATATTTGTCACATATAGAAAACGAAATTGTCATTTTAAATCATTTTTTGTGTGTCATACTTTTCTCTCTTTGAAGTCAAATGTTTGGTTAATTGTGTTCTTTACCATGTGATGCAGCAAAATGAGGACAGTTATAAGACATCCTCTCTGCCAGAAGCTATTCAGAACAAGTTATTTTACCTTCACTAAACTGAACAAATGTAGAATTATGATTAGGAGACTGTTGGGCATTAACTTTTGGCCGTTCCCTTAGTGTAAGTGAAGGGAAGTATCCACTCTGTAATATGTATTATTTCATTCCTTAAAACAAGAGATAATTATCTTGTAAAAAAAATTGTTTACAATGTAGACTCTTAGCTATAATTTCCAATATGCCCAACCAAACGTTAATATCAGTAATAATAGCCTTAATAATATTAATAGACTTAAATATTATTTAATTTCATTTGTGGTATCATCTCTGACTTAGAAGAATTTGTTTACATTTTAAGTTTTTATATCTAGAAATTTACATTTAACAGATTTTTCTTCTTTCATGTAGCTTTTTGAAAGTTTTAAATTTTATGGTGTGCCTTTTATTATGTGAGGTACTATACTGTTAACTTCATAGCCAATGTATGCAAATTAAATAGATGTGGTTCCTGTCTTATGTATTCACTAAGGATATTGCATATTGTGATAAATTCTCTGTTTAAATTTTTGTACAGCATTGGGGTTTAGTATTGAAGCATTTGCTTCTGTTACAATGAGAGGTTAGTAGACTATCTCTGATATAGTGTCTAGGCTTAGGAATTTGGCCTGTTCTAGAGTTGACACAGAAAGTTTTATTTACCCCTTGACAAAACAAACCTTTTCAGTTCAAAGATGATTCATTCCTTATCATGGTACCAGAGATATAGGACTATCATTCAGTGCTTATACTTTTATAGTTTATCCTGAAGAAATTAGAATAGTAGAGATCCTGCAGGCATTTGAAATATTTGTTAATACTGAAATTTTTTTTGACAGTAACTATTGAGACACCTCAAATAATGTTTCTCATCTGAAGTGCAAGTTCTGATTTTCTCTGTGACAAGACTATGACTTAGTTACAGAAAAACAAATTTGGCAGAAATCTTTTGTGTTTCTTATAGGGACTGGTTTTTTTTTGATAAAATAGTTGGATTGAGAAATCTGTTGCTTTTTAAGTTAGCTCAGAGAATACTACATAGTAAATGAGAATAATCAGTGGTTATTTTTATTTTTCAGGTTACATATTCAAGTAAATTCCTGGTTGTAGTATCTTTAAAGGGATAAAATTGCAAACAATTTGACTTAGTCAATCTTATACCAGTGTTTTGAGGTCAGTGTGATTATTTCTTCATTGTTCAAGTAAAACAAAGATGGTGATATTTCTTTATTAGTCCATAATAAATTTCTCATACCTTTCCAGACTGTTTACTAAGTACTTAGGTACAAGTCAGGTGACATGATAGATTCTAGTAAGGGTACATTTATCATAACAGGAAAGAAATCAATTATTTTTTTTTAACTCCAGTTTGAGAAAGCGATTTTTGTTTGAGTATTCTTAAATTCCCTGAATTTATCATTAACCCAGCATTAAAATGGGTAAAAATATTCCTTCTCAGGTTAGTTCTGATCACTTACCAGCAGGGGTCACTTTACTCAAGGACCTTTTCCCCCTTTCCTTGTCTATGGAATACTCTCAGCCCAGCATAATTGAATAACATGAGAGTGACTTTGGAGCTCAGATTCTCAGAATTTGTGCTGTCTCTTATTTTTAAAGGCAATATTTTGATTTTTTTAACTTACCAAATTAATTTTAAAGCATTAGAAACATAACCTAATTTTGTATTAAATCTCATTGAATGTTACTGTTGTTTTTAAAGAATAGTAACTATTTTGGCCTTTTGATTCTAGAAACTTCTGTTTAATTATTGTGGTAACTTAATTATTTCAAATTCTAAGAAACTTTTCCTGCTTTGTACATGGAAAGATTCGTATTATCTTTAATTTTTTCACAAACTTTTTGAAGTACCCTCATATATTTAAAGTGATGCAAAGCAATTTATAAATTATCAATTACCAGGTGATCATCAGCCAATTTGGATGATATTTTTTTTTTTTTCCTTTTTGTCTTTTTTCGTGTCCGGCAACGGATCGCAACCCTCAGTGTCGCGCCCGTACCGGACCGGGACCGGCAACGGGATCGCAACCCTCGGTGCTGCGCCCGCACCTCGCTCAGCCAGTGAGCGGGAACTGGTCTGTATGTGGGATCCGAACCCTCGGCGGGAATGCGCTGTAGCCGTGCGCCACCGGGCCGGCCCCGATATTTTTTAATTTGAGTGCTTTCCTTATGAGATTTTACTTACAACAATAACTGAAAAACTACTGACTTTTAAAAAATCTGGCACTATTAAAATATGAGATTTAAAAACTGGTTAAAATTGATTATTTTTTAAAAGTCAGTGTTAAAAACTAATTATCTAGGATACAAAAACTTTTCTTTAGCTTTTTATTAGTTCTTTTTTGTTTAGTATTAGTCTGTTATCATTTACTACGCCTCCTCAGTATAAACAGGGTAGTGGAGTAACTGGTTTATGTGGCTCAGCTGTCAAGTTAAAATTACATTTTATATAATTGACTATTGGTTGCTATATGGTATAGCAAGTGCCCTGAATTTTTTTTTTTACCTGTTTTTAGAGCTTTTTCATTTGAAAATTTTAGACATACGGAAAATTTGAAAGACTAATTCAGTGGTCTCCTTTATAGTCACCTCATATATTTGACAATTTTGTTAACTTTTTGCTCTATTTGTTTAATATGTATGTATGTGAGGTACTTCAGAAAGTTTGTGGAAAGATTCATATTATCTTTCAATTCTGTTTTTCTATAGACTTCTTGTATATGTTTTCTGGATCATTTGAAATTAAGTTGCATACATCATGACACATGACCCCTACATACTTCACCATCTCCTGAAAGGAGAGGAACAATGGCATTCTTTATAACCACAATATCATTGTCATGTCTAAGAAAATCAGCAGTAATTTTTTAATGCCATTTAATATTCATTCTATAATCAGTTATCCCAGTTGTTCCCACAGTACAGTTTATGAATAGTTTTTACAAACCAAGATTTATTCAAGGCCTGCATATTGTAGTTTAATTGTTTTAGAGATTAAATACCAATAGAAATTTACTAAATCAAGTATACATTCTAACAGTTTTCTGATATAAGTGTATTTGTGTTGGTTGTTTTCATTGATAACACCTGCCCATTGATATAGGTGAAGTAGAATCTGGTTGACAGTAGGAGATGGAATTTACAACTTGTTGGTAGGAACTTAAAACCTTTTTTCCCCCACTAAGAAAGACAGAATGGCTCTGAATTCTCTCTCCTATTTTACTGGTATGTTTAAGCCAAAACATATAAATATGAATGTCATATGGATATTCTGTTTATTTTATAAAGAAAAGAAATTTGGTCTAATCAGGCTTTGTATGTTTTATTAGAAGTCAAGGTGCCCATTTTATTAAAAGTATTCCAGATTTGTAAGTGAAGAAGATTGATTTTCCTTTAGTATTTTGGAAATTGGTAATGTTCTTAGAATCATTAACCCAACTATAAAGATACCTATATACCAAGATTTGAAATTATCCAGGTTGTAAGTTTATTTTATTCCTTAATGATTATACTTTTAATAAGACCACAAAATAGCAAATAAGATAGTTTTAATGTAATTTTTGTTTCAGATATGACTGTTTATGTATGTGTTTTAAGTGATTTTTTTTGGAAGCTCTGTGGTATACTTGAAATAGTGCTCATCTAGCAGTCAGGTTATCTTGTTCTTACTTCTGTCTTTACTGTTTAACAGTCATCAGGCCTTAGGCAAGTCTTTTAACCTCTGATTCTTGTATCTTCATATGTAAAATGGGATAATGTCAGTTCTGCTCCCCTGACAGAGTTTTTTCTTGTATTAAATATAGATATATGAAAGCAGTTTGGAAGCCATAGGATTAAATGTAAGGTGATAGGTTACTGTTAACGATGTATATATAAAGTTACCTAATACTGTTTCTTCAGAGTTGGCAGTAACTTTTTTTATGTAGATTAAATTATCTCATCTTTAATATCAAAGGTGAGTAAAATAAATTGTGTAGTCTTCGAAATAACAATATAGTCATTTTATTGGGTGAAATAAAATGTATATTGTATTTATATAAAAATTAAATATTTGTTCAATTAAAAGTAACATAGCAAAAATATTATAATGCACAATGAAAGTGTCTATTAAGTTTTATTTTGGGGGGTGAGTCTCAAATTTGTGTTGATTCAAATCTTATTGATAAATGTTATTACTCAGAAGATAAAAGTTCAAAAAATTTATGGTATTTGTCAAAATTTTGTGGTTTGAAAGCAAGCTCCTGGAAGAAGTTTGCTAAAAATTTGTATAGAAATAAAAATCTCATTTGGGTTCAGCTCACTTACTTTAACTCTATGGAGAAGTTGTGGCTAACTTGAACTTTGCTAGTGTTTGTATTGTAGTGTTTTATCATCACAAAATTAATATCTGCCTTCCTCAGTTTTCTTTCCTTGCAGCTTTTCTTTTTTTTTAACGGTAAGGGGATCGCAACCCTTGGCAGGGTTTTGTCTGCACCACGCTCAGCCATTGAGCGCACTGGCCATTCCTATATAGGATCCGAACCCGCAGCCTCAGCGCTACCAGCGCTGCACTCTCCCGAGTGAGCCACGGGGCTGGCCCTTTCCTTGCAGCTTTTTTTTTTTCCTTTTTTGTCTTTTTCCGTGTCCGGCAACAGATCGCAACCCTCAGTGTCGCCCCCGTACCGGACCGGGACCGGCAACGGGATCGCAACCCTCGGTGTTGCTCCCGCGCCTCGCTCAGCCAGTGAGCGGCCGGTCTGTATGTGGGATCCGAACCCTTGGCGGGAGCACCGCCACGCTTCCCAAGCGGCGCACTGTAGCAGTGCGCCACCGGGCCGGCCCATCCTTGCAGCTTTTAACATGAACCTATATACATATATTTGCAGTGCTAGATGTTTTAGCATAATCTTTTTGTTTTTCCTTTTTGTCTTTTTTCGTGACTGGTAACGGGATTGCAACCCTCGGTGTCGCGCCCGCGCCGCGCTCAACCAGTGAGCGGACCGGTCTATATATGGGATCCGAACCCTCGGCGGGAGCGCCACTGCGCTCCCAAGCGCCACACTCTACCGAGTGCGCCACTGGGCCGGCCCAGCATTATCTTAAGCTTCAAAGTTTTATGACTAGTTTTATATAAGTAGCCTTGAAAGATCTTAGAAATCTGGACATTGTCTGAATAGCTTTTCTATTAAAAATGTACTACGAGAAGGGATAAAAACAAGGAACAATTCCTAGAGTTGTTTATGAAGAGATTGTAGCTAATTTTTAAAGTGTTTCGGCACGTGAAAATTTCCACCACCACCTTCCTCATTTTAAAAGAACTCCTCATTTCTATAAGAACCTGATGACACAATATAGTTCATAAACAGCATAATGCTTGAGGTACTGATTTTAATCTTAAACATATCTGTTTCCTAAAATAATTCACTTTGAGGCCTGGTATTTCTTTTAGATTATTCCCATAGGTCTTTGCTAGACATTAAGGAAATTTTGTTGTTCATAAATTAAAGATGTGTTAACTTATGTATGTATGTATGTATGTATTTATTTATTTATTGTGTATGTAGATTTCTCCTCCAAATATTTTATAGAAGCCACTGATGTTTTGTCTTCATAAATTATATAAAAAGTTAATATTATTTTCTTCTGTATATCCTTAGGAACTATGCTCTTAAGTCTCTTAAGTACAGAAAGATTATATTTATCACATTTTTTTCTTTTGTAAACAGAGATGTGCTCCTGCATCTATTCGCCTCATGGACAACCAGCAGTTTCAGTTTGGTAAGCAAGGAGTAGTAATTTTAAAATCTGTTCACTTAGCCTCCAAAATTTATGAAACACCAGTAGGAAGAATACCGAGTACAGAGCTAAAAAGATGAATGTCATAGTTGCTGCCCTTCAGGAAGCTCTCAGTCTAATGAGGACAGACAGTTACATAAATGACTGAATGCAGCAGTGCTGAGGGGCTGTGAAAGAAGACTGCACTGTACACTGTGGGCTGCAAATGCAGGAGTGATTGATTCTACTTGATTTTGCTTGAGATGGGGGTGGAGAGTCAGGAAAGGCTTTTAAAGGACACTGATGCTTTTGAGGTAAACCTTCAAAGGTGAATGCAGGTTTGCCTGAGATCATCTTTTCTTCTCCCTTACCAAACTTGTTCACTTGTCAGCAAAAATAGGAAGTTGTGAAACCTCAGTGGCATGTTTTAGAGTACTTCAAATAGTTCTGTATGGCTGATAGAAGGTAGGATGTGGGTTGTTACATGAGATAAAGCAAGATGGGTGAACAGGCCCCCTGTGTGTTTTGACCTGCATTTAGAGAGCCATGTATCTCATTAATAAGACTGTGTTATCCTTTTGTATGTTATTGTTGCAGTAAACTATGTTAGACATAGGCAGTTTGGTAAAATTAGCTGTAACTGGGCTGGATTTTATTTATAATTGTGATCTATAACAATTTATAGTGAAGGTTTAAAGAAAAGGTCCTTCTGGCTATCCATCATTCCTGTTCTACATTCTCATAACTACACCTAGAAACATGCTTATATACTCCCTTCTATCCTCTCTACCTCTTCTGCCATCTCTAGTCTTGACTGTATCTCCCCTCCTTCTGCCCTTTACTTAGCTACCAAAGTGGTCTTTTTGATCTGATCGTGCTTCTTGGCTGTCTGTAACCTTTTTGATTCCTCAGTATCCATTGAATCCTTTCTATCTATATATCCTGCCATGGTTTTATGATCGAACACCTAACGGAGGAATGCTTAGACACAACAAGGGGTGTTTAGGACCCTGCACCAGCCATACGGCTGATTGGTAATGTTTGTACCATATTGGTTGTTAACAAAGTACAAGCCATATTATTAGTTGTTAATATTTTAACATCACCCCTATCTTCGGTACATCTCTTAATACATCATTTTGAAAATATCTGTTTTCAGTATATTGAAATGATCTACAGTTTTACTCTGTATACTAAGGTTTCTCAAACATAGGGGATGTTTCTTAGTCATTTTTGTATCATTTTTGTATCTCCTGCACTTGTCACAGAATAGGCCTTACATGTTGACTGAATTAATCATCAAACTGGCAAAAGAATGTAAATAAATCCTAGATGGCTCATAGCATACTGCCAAGCACATTTTCAATGGCACAATTCATCAAATATCTCCTCACAACTGTTCTTCGAGGTGGTATTCCCGTTTTTGAGTCTCAAATGACTGAAAGGCTAGATATTTTGGCCAAAGTCCGCAAGTCTTATGCGATAGAGCTGTAGTTGAACCCAAATTTGTCTGATTTCAAAGCCTAAGACTTTTTTGACTGTCTTGAACCACTTCTTTGAAACATAGGTATTTAATAAAACCTTTTAAATTACTTAATTAACATTGTAACAGTGCAAAATTTACTACTCAAACTGTTCAGCTAACAAATTTGGAAACTAGTTTACTATGAAAGATAAAACATGATAGCTGGTATATATTTAGAATGTAATTAATTTGATAGACAGCATTAATTCAAGGAAAAAGTGAAAGATGACAATACCCTCTAGTTAGTACTAATGCTCGATCAACCTTAAAGTCAGTATCAATTCCCATACAGTCCAGCTGCAAAAAAGCAAAAAAAAAAAAAAAAAAATCCCCATATTGGCCATCCACCTCTCCCCACCCTCAAAAAAAGTTATTTTTAATAATCATTTATTTTTCAAAGCTATTGGCTTAACTCAGTATTAGGGATGTATGTGTATAACTTATACTAGTCACTAATGGAAATTGTGCATATAAATCTCAATGGGTTATGGTGAACATTTACCCTTGAGAATTATTTCATAGAGTTGTAACATTTGGAGTCCTCATGCACTGTATAGAGATATGTGAATCAGAAGTTTTTTGTATGAATAATTTCAATTTCTTCAAAGAACTCTCAAACACTCAACACATATATGTATTTATATATTTATTTTCAATTGTTATTAATATAGGATGAGTTCCTTTTGGGACAGGAAGTGAATGTTTTGATGATATGTTATTTCTAACTTTATATGTGCTAGAAATTGTATCTTTTAAAACACTGGTTGTGCTAGAGAAGCATCTCTGATATGTTACAAAAAAAGAAAAAGAAAAATCCCAAACATATCTTTTACTTGTGATCCAGTAGCTCAGAAATACTGCTAGGTTGATTTCTATGTAATCTGTAGTTCATTTTGTTTTTTGTTTTAATGACTCAGTTATAGTGTGGATATCTAACTCTTAGCCTCTGGTTAAGACTTACATTACTTGGCCTTTTATGTAAACACAGTTTCCTACTATAATCAGCAAAAATGTAGTAAATAAGTGTTATAGATTCAGATTCTCACTTGAAAAAAAGTAGATGGATAGAAAAAAAAGACAAGTGATAGTTGTTTTAGAAACAGCTAGTTTGCTCTCTGCACCTATTTTAAAGGAAGGACAAATAAGAAATAAAATAACAAAAATCAAATAAACAAAATCCCTAAACCTTAAAGACTTTTTTAAAAGTAAACTTTTTATTTAGAGATAATTTTAGATTTACTGAAGACTTTAAAATTGTTTATAGAAATCCCATATAAATGGTATGCTACATTTTTCTGAATTGGGCTCAAAGCACTAAGGCCAGATGTATGACTCTTAAATGTAAACAGTCAAGAGAGTTGAGAAGTTGTTAGTCTCTGAAAACAACGAGAAAACAGTAAAAGGTTTTCACTCAATTAAGCTTAATCCGCAGGCAAGGATGTTAATTTAACAGACTCTGAGACGCCATTTATGTTATTTTGGTAATTTTAACTCTCCGGGTGTGATTAAGGAAGCAATTGCTAGTTTTATGCCAAGAATTCTGGATGAATTAAGAATTAATTAAGAAACAACCTTACACTTGGCATTGACTCTGTATTTAGTTATAATTCTGAATGGTTTTTGTACAATTAAAAAAAAAAAAGTAAAACCAGCCACTACTGGGTGTTCTTAATGAAATAAAAATTAATGAAGTAGTTTTACTATGTATGAACCGTACCATTGAAAGATAACCTAAATTATGTGTGGTATTAATTACATATACTAGATGACTTCAACAACAAACAGGGAATGGGTTTTGTAAAGAAAAAGTTGTGTGTGACTTTTCAAGGAAGACAAAGATAAAATGTGAAGATCTTAATGTAAATATATGGTATATATAAATAACATAGGGAGATTTAAAAAATTAAATTCAAGAAAACTTTTACTTTCTTTTAGGATACCAAGGTGAAGTAGCCTCTTGATCTTCTGGAAAACACAGAATTTGATATTAATTAAAAATATAACCTTTTCCCCTTACTTCTTAGGTCATGCTCTTAAACCTCAGGTTTCCTCTATTTTTACATCATTTTTGGATGGATTAAAAAAGTTTTATATTACAAAGGTAAGAATTTGTGTAAACTGCTAAAATTTTAAATGCATAGGGCATTAACTTTGTTCCCTGTCTTCTTCCCCTCACATGCACCTATTGTAAGGACTTTTTTTTATGTTGCTGTGTACATTTCATGATTACTCTTTTTCATGTTGGAATAAATATTTGTCAAGTAAATTAATCATGCAGTCAGTTTCAGAAATTTTCTTTTCTAGTTTCGAAGTTTCTAAAAATAACATTGCATTCAACAATTTCGTACTTATAACATTTTCTTTAGTTTAAATTTTTTTCTTTACAGTATGTATCCAGAGGTGTAATAAGAGCATGGATTTTTTTTTTTTTTTTTTTTTTTTTTTTTTTGGTTTCTAAAAATAACATTGCATTCAACAATTTCGTACTTATAACATTTTCTTTAGTTTAAATTTTTTTCTTTACAGTATGTATCCAGAGGTGTAATAAGAGCATGGATTTTTTTTTTTTTTTTTTTATATGTTTGATTGCTGAATTGCTTTTCTAAAGAGTTATACCAGCTTACACTACAATAAGCAAAACATATGTGCCTTTTTTTGTTGCATCCTTGTTATTGCATGTGGGATTTTTTGTTTTGTTATGTTTTAAATTTACCAGGGGGGGAGAATGTTTCTTGAAACTCCAGTGAGACAGAACATTTCTATGTATTTTCTAGACGTCGTTTTTGTGTGAATTAGTTGGATATGGTTATTTTACCAGCAAGGGCAGCTTCATGTTTTCTTTTTGGTGCTTTGAATTATTAGATTGTAATGATTTTTTCCAGTCAGTTGTCTCCCTTTTGAATAGGGGGTTTTCTTTTTGGTGCAAAAATTTCAAATTTTCTTATCTCTTCCTGTGATTATTTAGTTCTGAGCTTAGAAAAGTCTTTCTTCCTCTAGAAGTATGATTAGGGCTATTTTCTTCTCTCTCTCTTTTGTGTTAAATGCGAATTTTAAAAAAAAATTATCTGCATTGCTATTTGAATATATTTCAATTTTATTTCGTGTGATGTAAAGATCTAAATTAATCTTTACCTCCTGTTCCCTCAATTGGTAACCAGTTGTGGCAGAACCATTAATTTACTAATCTCTGCTTCTCTTATATTAATTTGCCATGCCTAAGACACCTTCTTATGTACTTATCCAAGAAATAGACTCCATTTTAATGTATCTAATTCTTTTTAATGAGTTTTTGTTCTTGAAAAAATTAAATGGATTTAATTGTTGTAGGTCTAGTTTTCTCTTGGGGTACTCAGAATTTTCCTTCTTATCACCATCACCTACCTGTTTATTATTCTAGAAAAATTTTAGAAGCTCTTCATCATTTTAGAAAGTCTGTTGGGCTTTTTATTAGAATTAGAATAAAGTTATATATTAATTCAGGCAAGTATTTTCAAGTTTATACTACTTAGTTTCTTTGTTCAAGAGCATATATCTTTCTCATCTTTTTTGAGACATTTTCCTAATGAAGTTATAATATTTCTTTTTTATTCTTAGATACTATTTTAATTTTATGTGTAAGATCTCCTTTGAAAGTATTTAATAAGAAGTTATTCTTGATATATAGGTATACTATTGGTTTTTACTTTTTCCCCCTACATCCAGCTACTTTATTCTATTATATGATTTTTACTTTATTCATGACTACAGTTATAATTCTAAGTTATTTGTTGTGTATACATACCAGTATGTCATCATGATTAACACTGTGGCATGCTTTGAAATAAATTGTCTTTTTCTATGCTGCATAGCTTTGTTATATTATAATGACCTGAGTAGGTACATTTAAGCATTCTTGTTGATTGACATGTAAAGTTCCAAAGCTCAATTTTTAAGAAGTTGGTGTATTTGAGCCTAGATCAGAAAGAGCAAAATGTATTTTGATTTGCTGTTTTGTAGGGTAAGACTTGTCTGTGATAATAAAATTTTGTTTTTATTGTAGTTTAAAGGATTTGATCCAAATTAGATCAGAAAGAGCAAAATGTATTTTGATTTGCTGTTTTGTAGGATAAGACTTGTCTGTGATAATAAAATTTTGTTTTTATTGTAGTTTAAAGGATTTGATCCAAATCAGCTAAGTGTAGCCACATTGCTATTTGAGGGGGACCGTGAGAAGGTTCTTCAGCATGAAAAACAAGTGTATGACATTGCTGCAAAATTTGGGTATGGCTTTATGTTTATAATGCCAAGAGAAAGTTAAGCTAAAATTCTGATATTTCCATGCAATTATTAGTGTACCAATCATTAAAGTCTCTAAGATTGCATATCTCCAAGCAGTTATTAATTTAAACTTAGATTTATGGTAATTTATGATAGTAAATTTAAAATATTGTCTTGGTTTACTTCCAAAATTTATAGGAAGTTAGATTGATATGTTGCTCTTACTTGTGTAATTAGGTGTATATTAAATATTTTATAGTATTTTTCTTAGATTTTTACATTAATGCCAATTTTGTGATATTTATTTGTTGTGCTAGAGAAAAATAGTAAAATATTCATTGTCATTTTACTCTTTATTGATCACAGTATATGTATAAAGCATGCTATTAGTGTGTTTTTAGAGGAAACTGTGTTTAATCAAAGGTATTTGATAAATTGTCTATACTCCGCCCCCTGTCACTTATTGTTTTGTTCTGGTATAAAGAAACAGAAAACATTTCACATCCATAACCAACTGAATAATGACAGGGTGGTTTCTGTCTGTCTGCTTGATGGATTACAAGACTGATCAATGAAAACTATTGTGAAAATGCCATTTATCAGGACCACATTTTTTCCTTTCCTTTTTAATTTAAGTACAACATAAACAATTTTCTAGATTCCAGTCTCTACTTTTTTTATTTCAGGAATTAAAATATCTCATACATATTATGCTTAACCTGAGTTCTTTGTAAATATTTTTCATTCCTTCTTTTTTTTTTTTCCTGTTTTTTAAGAAAACACTTTGGAGCTATGTGACTTCACGTGCCCCACTTTCACATATTTTTTTCAAATGTAAAGTTAGCCCTTTATTTCTAGAATCGTCTGAACTTAATGTTAGACTGTATGTTGTATTCTTAGAAAGGAAAAAAATATAATCATGGATTTAATTTTTAGTTTATTTTTGTACTGTTGTAATCTCTCACTTTTATTTTTTACCCTATTCTGAAATTGGCAAGTGGAATTTTAATTTCTTTAATAAAAGATAAAGTTCCTTTATCTCTCACCTTTTCTCCTCCCACAGTACCTTTTTAGGGAATTACTGTGTTTTAGCTAAATTAGTTAAATGTAATTGTGCTATAAAAAAATCATTTAATTTGGTCAAGTTACCAAGTGACTTGGATTTCGGGTCAATTCATTTGTGTTTGAATTTTTGAAATGTACATTTTTCCCTTCCCAGAAGAAGTTTAGCCCTCTGTGTGTACCTGTTTTTTTAGTTTCTAAGTTATATGGAGTACATATATTATTTAATTAAAAAACTTTTTTTCTTAAAACACATATTAGTCAGATATGTGTTTGACTCCAAATAATTAAAGAGATGTAAAATAAAATCTGTTGTATCTGCTCTTTTATGTGTTAAATATTAGAGATCGAAACTTTAAAAAATTGTTTCTTATATGTTTAAATATGTTAAAATATTTAATTTCAAAATTTTCCAGAAGGACTGGTAGAGAAATGGAAGAGGACGTTTTGCTACATTTGAATTGCTGTATATAGGGTTAAATTTGATTAGTTTCACCTCGGTCCTCCTCCTCATCCACCTACACACACACACACACACACACACACACACACACACACACACACACACACACACATGCGCGCGCGCAGAGGAATTAATTTGTCAGAACCGTTTTGTCAGTTTTGTTTAATTTGAGCCACCAACTGTCATGAATGTCAGTAATATCAGTTTTATTTTCTCACATAACACCATCCATTTGCAACTTAAAAATAAGAGTGAATCTTGTTTAAGATATGGTATCCAACTCTCTTCAGATACTGATACAGAGGCCCCAGAACTATTGGGTTAATTCCAGCAATTTTGCTTATTCTAAACAAAACTTGTATCAAATTCATCCACTAAAAATAGGTTATAGTAAATGAGATGTCAATTTAAAGTAAGAGTAAACTGTTAAAAACTTTGGCCCAGATTGGCGTTTCATTTTTTTTGGCTATTATTGTTTGAACCTTCTTAGTTACATTATGATTAATTTTTAAACGTATTTTCGTCCTGGCTCTTTTCATTTAGATGCAGAAGTCTTCTGTTTTCAACAACCCAGAATGTCATTAGGCAGATGATTCAGGGCTATTTTAATTTTTTAATAGTTGGAAATATCTTCTTTTGGTTTTTTATCAGAAGTCCTGGTTTTCCCCCAGTTTTCTGTAGGCACTATTTTTTTATTCTAATCACTGAAGATTCAGAGATATTTTTCTTATTTAAGATGCCACTCTGCCAGCTGTCAGTCCTCAGTCATTTCTCCTTCTGCATAACAAGATGGAGGACAGCACCACTAAGTTTCTTTCTGCTAAAGTTTTCATATGTTAGTGTAGCTCATATTTTATTTTGAATTAGGGCATTATTAATCTATTCTTTATTTTCTGTTTCTTTTATCCTCTCTTCCCATTGCTTCATTAGCTTTAAATTGATTGTTTCTAATGAAGGGCTCCCAACAGTTTAGAACATTTTTATGTATTGTCTTAGCCATTTTTCCTCCTTGCCTTCCACCCCCACCCCAACACTGTTAAATCCCTTTGAACACATGATCCAACAGAACATAGTAGCCAAATATTGAATTATCATGCATTGGTTGTTTATGTTTGCTGGTAATGCATTTTAACTTCTCTAAGAGCTAAGCAGAATAAACAATACCTGTCAGCATTCATCGAAGGTGTTTTGACATTTACCATAGAACTTAAGGTAATAAGTTATTGTTGTTTTTAAAGTGTGCTTAAGTTTAATATAAATGAACATAAGAGTGATTAAATTCACCAGATGGCCTTTTTTTTTTTTTTTTTAATAAAAACATTGTCTCTTATTCCTCTTTCATTAGTCTTCCCAGGCCTTCCTCATGAAACAGCTTTAAATTTCTTTAAGAACCTTGTGAATCAAAGTTTGAAATTTGTTGAGGGAGCAGCAAGTAGGGGATGGATGTTGCTACTTTAACATAAAGCAGTTTGAATCTAAGTGTAGTTTATTGGAGTAGCTACAACAATGGAAATTTAGAAGCATTTAATTACTAAGGCCTGCTATTATTTACATATTATATCTTAAGGTAATTCTGACTAGAAGATTGACAGTTCTGAAAGCTAAAAAAAGAGAAGTTCCAAAAACCTAAATTTGCAAGGAAATCTATGATTCAGAAAAGCAAGCCCAGATTGACTTTTCTTTTCCTTTGGGGTTTATGAATTTAGGATGGACATCCAGTTTCTTCCTGCTTTAGATAAGAAAATGGGTGTTTCTGTGTGGTTTGTCTCACTGGATCCCAGTGTAGAACAGATTCCCCCTCCAGATATTGGAAGAGGGTCTAAAGAGAAATGGCTTGACCTGGGACTGGAAAGTAGGTCTTTGTCTCATCCTGATATAACAGTGATAGGCTACTAAATGTTCATTACTGTTAGTTCTCACCGCAAGCATACTTAGCATGCTGCTTCTCAGATTCCCAACACAGGTGTCTTGCACCCTTTCCCAGTCTTCACTCTCCTTTCCTTCTGCTACTAGGCCGAGGATCAGTTGTTACTATTTCTTCGATCTGTGTTGTTTTTTCTTTCTTGGACTCAGAGTCTCACTCCATTTCATATCTACCTGAGCTATGGGCTCAGCTGTTTTCCTCCAAGCACTTGCCACAGCAGTTTTCTGACTCATTTTCCCTTTATTTGGGAATTTTATTTGGCTCTCTACCTTCACCTTCGCGTCTAATCCAGAATTGTCTTTTGTCTCGTTTCACATGCTTGATCTGTCTTCTTTGCTCATTAACATGCTATTAATACAAACTATCCCCTTCATTATGCCCCTTCCTCAAGTAGTTCTTGACTAGAGCTGCTTCTATTCAAGTCTTTGCCACTCCTTCTGGATGACACTAGTTTGTATATACTCATCTACAGTCAGAAAATATATAATTTAGCCCGAAATTGCCTTATAGTATTTGTATAGAACAAGGGTTCATCTACAGTGTATTGTTTGTTTACCACCAAATCCAACAAAACTTCAGGAGAAGAAAGGATTTAATTATGAGGTGTTAATTGAGGCCATAAGAGAAATGATTCTTCCTTTAGTTTACTAAAATTAGTTAAAATTTAATTTCTGTTTGATAATGGAAAAATCATAATTAAAAACTCCTACCAAAGGGCCGGCCCGGTGGCGCACTGCTACAGTGCGCCGCTTGGGGGCGCGGCGGCGCTCCCTCTGAGGGGTCGGATCCCACATACAGACCGGTTCCGCTCACTGGCTGAGCGAGCTGCGGGCGCGACACCGAGGGGTGCGATCCTGTTGCTGGTCCCGGTCTGGTACGGGCGCGACGATCCTGTTGCTGGTCCCGGTCTGGTACGGGCGCGACGATCCTGTTGCTGGTCCCGGTCTGGTACGGGCGCGACGATCCTGTTGCTGGTCCCGGTCTGGTACGGGCGCGACACTGAGGGTTGCGATCCGTTGCTGGACACGAGAAGAGACAAAAAGGAAAAAAAAAAAAAAAAACTCCTACCAAAGATAGTGGAAAGCAATATTCGTCCATTGTCTTTTAAAATAGTAGTAACTTTTACAAACCAGAGTCTTGGTCTGATTTATATGTTATATGGGATTAATTCTAACTAGATCATCAAATATAATTTCCATGGATAAAAACTACTTTCAATTTCAGTGCTCCCACCGCAGGTTCGGATCCTATATAGGGATGACCGGTGCGTTCACAGCACTCACTGGCTGAGCGCAGTGCGGCCGGTCTCAAAAAAGGACAAAAAAAAAAAAAAAGACTACTTTCAATTTGAAAGGGATAGTTTAAGTATTCATAGTAGTAGGACCTTATCCATTGGTTTTGCACTTATCTGTATGTTGCTTTATAAACCTTAATATTTCTGTATAAGTACGTTTTACCTCTCATTTAAATCATGAGTTCTATAAAATAAGCATCATGCTTAACTCCAAATATTATGTGCTCAAGTATTCAAGAAACTTATTGTCATTTGTTGCTAGTCAATCATCACACTTCTTTATATGTGGATAAGACTATAACAATATGTGAATATATGAATAAGAATATAATGTGAATAAAATAAGAATATTTTAAGTATCTTGTTTGCTTGTGAAGATTATCTTGCCTCATTTAAATTTGTTTCTCAAGGCTAACTCTCTGCTCTTTTGAGAATGTGGGTAGAAGTAGTTGAGTTCATATGAGTCAGTTTTATAGTTTGGTAGATAAAAGTTTGAAATTAATGACTAAACTGAATTATTAAAACTGTTTTCAGATTTTTGTTATCCAAGCTTATTTTCTTGACAGCTCTTTGATATATTTATGATAAATGGGATTAAGATAAAAATGAGACAAAGTGTAATATATGTTAATCTGCTAAGCAGTTATCTTGAGGTATCATATCAGTTTGGTTAGTTCTATATATTTTTAATAATTCATTTGAAATATACTAACAGTTCTTTAATTACAGTGGGTTGGCAGCTGGAGAAGATAATGGACAGAGAGGTTATTTGCTGACCTATGTCATTGCGTACATTCGAGTAAGTTATATCATATTTCATTGTCAATTTATACTTTTTTTCAAATTGTTAAACAGTACTTTTACTTTGAGTAAATGAAGTTGTTTTCTTTATTTTCTTAAATTTTAAGCTACTATAATTTAGCACATTATTTTACGTGAACCCTAGATTAGCTATGAATCTTCAGAAACTCATTTAAACCATCTGTATATGCTTTTGAGGAACTTAAAGATGACTTACTATATCTTTCTGCTTTTTAAAAGAATGGAGCCTTTGTCTGAAAGTTGAGCATGCCATTTGAAAAATTACTTAGTTAGAATCAAGCAGTTTCACTTAGCAACATTTCTCACTTGATCATAATGTCTTAAAGATATAGAATTCTTTAACTGTGTTTTTAAAAATTGTTTAATTTTATTCCATGTAGATATTGGTTCACTGGTGATGATTGCTGTATATGAGTAGAATTAAAGAAATAAATTAGTGTACTTGAGCGCTAAAATTTTTCTAGTTCTAGATTTTCTACTTATGAGAATTTAATTTTATTCCATGTAGATATTGGTTCACTGGTGATGATTGCTGTATATGAGTAGAATTAAGGAAATAAATTAGTGTACTTGAGCGCTAAAATTTTTCTAGTTCTAGATTTTCTACTTATGAGAAACTTCATTAGTCATATTAATTTCAAATCTGCTATACTGATAGTAAGTTGTTCTGATACTTTATTTCTTCATTTATTTATTTAGTTTTGTTTTTCTATTTTGGCCGTAACAAACCCAAGTTTCTTAATTGTTTTCTGCTATTGCTGGGGTTCCTTTTTTGTGTGTTTTTTAAAAATTTTGCCTGTTATGTAATTTGAATGATCTTATTCTAAAAGTTTGTTTTTTCAGATATCCTGCCGAGAATTTAGCTTCCCCAAATACTAAACTTTTAAATTTTTTGCTTGGAAATTGAATATGTTTGTATGAGTATTTCCTTCAAAACAATTTGTTTTTACTTCTCTGAGAAGTCTTGAATTAATGTGTTCTCATTTTAGAAATAATTTAATCCTTGCTAAGATTCATATTTTAAATTTCAGTGAATTTGAAGCATATAATCCTCTTCCCTCCCTGCAACACCCACACCCCATCCCATTATGCTGATAAGGAAAAGTATATGCATTGCCTATTCTAGTGTGTTAGAAATTCTGATTAAGAGATGTATAGATCATGAAAGATAATAGATGATTTTGGATCTTATAAATAATATCTGCTTCCATAGACTGTTGGTACTCCAGGTTCTCACCATAGTAAGCATTTTTAGTAAACATAAAATTTTGTTTCCTAGCCATTTTTCTGAGGATGTTGACCATTTTCCCATAATACTAAATTTAGAACTCTAGAAAATGAAATGTAACTGTAAGAAGTACAGTGTAGACACAATTTGGAGTAAATATCTTAATTTTTAAGGTTCCAGTTCATGTTAAAGCTGAGTCAAAAGCAAGTTAGGGACTTTTTCCCCCCGGATTATTTATTTTATTATTAAGAAAAATTTCCAGTTCCTATTACCATTGTCATCAAATATGTTTACTGAATAAATGAATGCATATGAGAAAAACACACATTTTAGACCAGTCATTTGGAGACTTTTCCCTCCAAACTCTAGTTGGGTTGAAGTGATTCATTTTATCGGAAATAAAAACCTTAACTTGTATTGATTTTCCTGCCTTATAAAATTTTCTTTCAAATCTTTGCATTTCTGTGGTGGCTTGTGAATCTTTCTTCCCAGTTTGGTAATAAAATAGTCGTGCTCTAGGTAAAGAAATTAAGCATTATAAGTTACTTGTAAGTATTATATCTTGTATGCTATATATAATATATTTTTATAGTAGAGGTGCCTTCAGATATTCTGTCTATTCTGTCACTTCAAAGAGAGGCACTGTATTTTCTAAATTTGTTTTTAAAGAAAAGTTGATTTTAAGCAAGGAGAATATCTTCCTCTTCTTCTACCCTTCCCTGCTTCCCTACCCATCCTCCTCCGTCGATTGACCAGTTTTTGATACCAGTTAATTTGTTAATTAGGCCACTAAGAATCTATTCTGGTGGTTTTCTCTATATGTACATAAACTGTTCCTGGATAGAGACTCCATTCACTGGATAAGTATTTGAGTTCCTCCCCTGTGTCAGGCACTCTGCCTGGTGCCAAAGATACAGAGGAGAACAAGACAGACAAGGTTCCTGTCCTCGTGAAGGTTCTAGCTCACTCTCAGGGCAACTTTCCATGCTCTTATGAGGCAGATAGTAAAGAGCAGTCGAGATAAAATGAAAAACATGTAGCACTAGCAAACAAGGAACATGAAATAATAACAATATTATTGATTCTTCTGCGTCTGTTATAGTTTCTTGATTTTTGTGTATGTTTCTTAACAGGACTTAGGTTTGGAATACTATATATTAGGAGAATCTTTTGAGACTTCTGCTCCTTGGGACAGGTAAAATATAATAAAATCCCTGATATTATTCAAATATGGTATATGAGTTGCCGAAATAATATCTTTGTGTATGAATATATAAACTAAAAATTTTATGAAGGAATATTGAAACAAGGCACCTACTTTTATTTAAATTGATGTCTTCAACAGAATGTCATATTTTCAAGCCCTTTTTTTGGTTTGAGGCAAGTTTGTGACACAAAGAATGAAGGTGTTGTTGATATTTACATTTTGAAGAATCTTATTGGACACTAAATGTTATTGTGTGGTTTTACTTAGCTTTGATTAAATTCTTAAGTGATTAACATGCTTAAATGTTCTCTAAAAAGTCTCCCAAAATGATAAAGCCAGTTAACCTTCTTTGGTAATGCCATTTAGGTTTTGATATTTGTATGTGCGTATTAAGTAAGATCTTAACTTACCTTTAAGTGATTTCTGAAAGAAGTACATGGTAAGAACTTAAGTGCAATTTCTAAATTTAAGCTTAATTCGAGTACTGGAGCATATTATAGGAAATAACCCAAATAAAATCAAGGGAAATAAATTTTAGAAGGGTTTTGTTACTGGAAATGCATACACCCACTCACACTCACACACAAATATTGGTTAGGGAATTAATAAAATCTGATTAGGAAATGTGAAATGGTTTTCTTAAAAATGGACTTGTGAGTTGTCAACTCATTCAATAATAAATAAATTATTAAGTAGATCGTTAATATATTTTTATTTTCTTTTAGTATGCTTACATTTTACTTTTTTAAAATAAAATTTACAAAACGTTTAAAACCTACAATAAAATATATAGGTTATAACAAATTCCCATGAATTTACCTCTCAGATATTACAAATCTCAACATTTTGTTCTCTTCCAACCTCTTTTTTTCTTCCTAGAAAACTTTTTACTTTTCTACATTTACTCTTCTATTATGTGTTATGAGTTTTGGCACATTGGTGCTCATATTTTATGCATTGTTAGATATTAACCCAATTTATAGTATCACTCTTTTATTCACAGTTTTTTATGCTAAATTTTAACAAGGGAAATAAATCTTGTGAGTGAAAAGAATTACCAACTCTGACACTTTTTCACAACAGAAATAGTTTGGCAGCTGTTTGTAGTGGTCTTAAAGACCATTTTAATCTTTAATATTTCTCCTTGGTAGGAGTCTTAGTCAGTTTGGACTGCTATACAGAATACCATAGACTGGGTGGCATAAGTGTTCTTAAACAAGAAACATTTATTTCTCACAGTTCTGAAGGCTTGAAGTCTGAGATCAGGGTGCCAGCATAATTGGGTTTTTGGTGAAGACCCTCTTCTGGTTTATAGATGGCCATTTTTTTGTTGTATTCTTACATGGTGGAAGGCAGAGAAAGAAACAAACCCTCTCATCTTTTTTTTATAAGGGCACTAATGTTATTCATTGGGAGGGACACAAACATTCAGTCCATATCACTGGGGAAAGTGGGTTAGTATAGTGTTACCTCCTCAGCGTTATGAATTTCCTTGTCGTCAGTTAACATATTGCCATCTTTTTATTCTTTCAACTGTGGAAACTGACTATGGGCTATCTTTTTATTTTCTTATCCACTCTTTGTATATACTTACATATTTTTTAATTAACTCAGTGATAATTTCAGTATTATGCAGGGTTACATATTTGGTATCTTTTCATTTAAAACATTTTCTTCAGCTGAAGTTTTAATAAATATCATAAATGGAAATGTACTTGTTACTTATTTAGCAACTCGCTTTTTCTTTCAAATCTTTAGCTAGATAGAGACCATGTTTAGCAGTAGCCCATAGGATCAGGGTCTTCAACCCTCACACATTATTAGGTCATTGGCCTTTTCATGTATATAATCCACAGGGAGTTATTGTTCTTTAGTAGTCTTTGTCTGTCCCCAAGTGGCACATCCCACTGTGGCCTTAGCACCATGATTGCACCTGTTAGGTACCCAATGAATATTCTACATAGAGTCCTATGATTGAACTCTGGAATAGTGTCAAATTATAGCTTATAAAAATAGGTGTCTTAAGAGTTGAAGAGTTTAAAGATTTTGGAGACAACAGAAAGAATCTTGTGATTAAAACCAAGGAAGTGGATACAAATACTTACAGATAGTATGGAACAAAGGAAACAAAGAGGGCCTAAGAAAGAAGTCCATGGAATCTCAACATTTAAGGGATAGTCATACAAGCAAAAGCTGGCAAAAGAGACTGAAGAATAATATCTAGAGTATTTGGAAGAAATTCAAGTGATGAGATGTGAGAAAAGCCCAGGGAAGATTTTTTTCAAGGAGAAAATAGTTAACAGTGTTAAATTTGCTGATAGATCAAATAAGAATTATGTTTATATCCTATATAATGATTGGTCCAAATGGACTGTATTGACCTTTGCTCAAGTTCTGTGAGAGAATACTTTCAGAACCCTCTCCCTACAAATCATTTATAGAAAGTGTTGCATTGGGGGTTATAATCATTTGGTCCTATTCTTTCTTCCATAATCTCTTCATGTTCAGCTACCAGTGGAGGGTTTAGATATAAGCAACTTTTAACATGTCTATGTTTTCAATTGCATTTGTGATGATTGGATACATTTAAATGCATTTAAATGGAAATATGGTTCACCCAATAGTTTAATTTGCAAAGGACTATAAAAGCAGATGAATTGTATTCTTAACTTTTTTTTAGACTATGTAGCTGTAGCACTTAAATTTCATTTTCTAGAGCCAAGATAAAGAACTTGTTTGAATTTACAAACTTTTAAGAGTTTGTAAATTCATTAATCCCTGTAAATATTAATGTAGCTGTAGCACTTAAATTTCATTTTCTAGAGCCAAGATAAGGAACTTGTTTGAATTTACAAACTTTTAAGAGTTTGTAAATTCATTAATCCCTGTAAATATTAAAGCTTAGTAGATTTTATTTATGTCTAAAGTGTTTTATAGGTTGGGTTTTCAAAATAAATACGTATTAAATTCCAATAATCTAAATGCTTATGAGATTTTTTTTTAAAACATGCATTTCTTGCCATTCCATAAAAGGCTTAGGTAACATCACATTGATAAATCATATTTACCTGCAGCTCTCATAAATTAAAGCAGAATTTAACTTAAGAGCATTGTTTGGTAAAATTAGGATTTATAAAGGTTTCAGATACTGTATTCATAAAAATAAATTTGACATGCTTATAAAACACTAAAACCCTTTTTGTACTTATATTTTAATTATATATTTTTTATTCTTGGAAATATAGATGATTTTAATGTGTTTTACAAAGCATAATTTGCTTAAATGTTATTGTTTTTATCAAATTGGTTCTCACACAGTCAAATCAGTCTTGAGACTAGAGGTAGGCCAGCTTTTTGAGTTTCTTTGGAGTCTTTTCAATTCTCTTGATGCTAAACAGACCAAGGTTTAAAACACAGAACTAGAATATTTATTGGAGAATAAAATGGTTTTTATATACCTTAAAAGTTTTATTTTCCAGATGAAACAAAATGTGTAATTATAACAATATGTTATAGCTCACATTCAAAAGTAGTTGAATTAAAAAATAGATTAATGTTGGGCCGGCCCAGTGGCGCACTGGATAGTGCGCCGCTTGGGAAGCGCGGTGGCGCTCCCGCCCGAGGGTTCGGATCCCGCATTCAGACCGGTTCCCGCTCACTGGCTGAGCGAGGAGCGGGAGCAACGCCGAGGGTTGCAATCCCGTTGCCGGTCCCCGGTCCGGTACGGGGGCAACACTGAGGGTTGCGATCCGTTGCCGGACACGGAAAAAGACAAAAAAAAAAAAATAGATTAATGTTGTTAAATGTTGTCAGTCTCCTTTTCCCTTTAAGGATTATTACTATCCAGTCTAACATAGCACATTAGCACTTTACACATAGTTCATATCCAATAAGTCTGTCAAATTGGATTTCAGTTTGAGAATAGGTTGTTGAGCATTTGATATAATGTCATGATTATTAATTGAATTGTTTTTGAATTAAGGAACACATCTTAACATGGATAAAGATTGATATTCATATAACACAGGATTGAATTTTTATTAACTTGCTCTTTATAGCTTTTTTTAAAGCTCTTAAAATTTTGTAATTAAATTTATTTTGAAATTGGGCTTTGCTAAGTGTAGAAAACTGCATTTAAGAGACTTGAATATGTTCTTCTGACTTCTGTATTTCCAATGGCAAAAGCAAGAAAAGACTTTGGTCCCTTTGAAGTTATCAATGGAGGGCTCAAATCAGATGATCAAGGTTCTTGTTCATTCTTGAAGGAGTAACTGAAAGCTTTTAGTTAAGAGAATTTCAGACTTGAAGGATGCCAGATAAATCAGCATTTATTAGGATTTGTGTAATTTTCATTTGAAAACTTAATATCATGTTCAATGATCTTTTCTAGGGTTGTAGATCTCTGTAGAAATGTAAAAGAAAGAATAACAAGGGAGTGCAAAGAGAAGGGTGTTCAGTTTGCTCCTCTTTCTACATGCCGGTAAGTTTTTAAAATTGTTCTTATACTCCTTATTCTGAAAAACTTTTTAATATATAGGGAAATATGATTTGTCAGCTGAGGAAAAGCTTTCTTGGCAAGCTTTCCTAAACTTTACTTACCACCTTGTTAGAATTGTGCCACTAGGATTTTACTGCAGTCCTGAGCCCACTAGGAATAGGACACTCTTCCGTGAGTAAGCCTTTCATTCTGTCTGGACAGCATGTTAGTGAAGAGCCTAGAGTTCCTGGAGAAAGAGAAGGACTCCTTCATTCACTGGAAGTATGAATTACATAGATAGTCAAGAAACTAAAAATTATACACGTAGTCAACATGGCTCTTCATCAGAGAAAAAAACAACACTAAACATTTTAGTTGATGATGAAATGAATGGGAGTAGAATAAAGGAATGAGAGGAGAAGAAGATTCAAGTGACAATTAACTGAGTCCTTTTTAATAGATCATTCTTCAATAATGAAAATATTCTGTGTCTGTGCTGTTCATTATGGTAGCCACAAGCCACATGTGGCTATTGAGCGATTGAAATGTGGCTAGTGTAACTGTGGAAGTGAATTTTAAAATTTGTTTAATTTTTTAATTAATTTAAAATGCCACATGTGGCTGGTGTCTTCCATATTGGACATTGCATGGTTAACGCAATGATGATCTTGTCCTCTTTGTTGAATAACAGCAGCTCAAAAGGAGGTTTTCTTGAGAAGGGGCACTTTGTGTTCAATTTTTTGGTATTCGTTTTCTGTGTAAACTGGGAGATTAAATGTATGAAGATTGAGTTGAACCTTTGACTTCTGTAAAAATTTAAGGAACTAATTGGAATGGAGAATAAATGGAAATTGGAACAAAGTATGAAACCACAAGGGGAACCTTAAAATAAATGATACAGTAGTAATGTAGCACTTTTAAAACTTTTTTGTATAACTGCCTCACTTTTTTTTTCTCTTTGTATGTATGTGTGGTTTTCAAGAACACATCTCCACTATATATTACAGAAACAACTTACAGTATAAAAATGTTAAAGGTTAGGTAATTTTGGAAATAATGTAATATCTATTATTAACTTCACCTGATACTGGACTTCTGAAACAAAACACCCCGTCCCCCATTTCCCATTTTCCCCTTTCCCACCTCTAATAACCACAGTTCTGTTCTCTTTTTTTGAAATTTCAGTGTATTTTTGATTCTTCCTTCTTTCCTCCCTCCCCCCTCCCTCCTCCCCCCCCCAACACTTATGAGTGAGGACATGCAATATGAACAAAGTAGCTAAATAGACATTTCTCAAAGGAGGATATACAAATGGCTCAACATCACTCAGCATTGGGGAAATGCAGATTATAAAACCACGTTGAGATATCATCTCACCCCACTTAGAATGCCTATTATCAAAAAGACAGAATAACAAATGCTGACCAGGATGTGGAAAAAGGAGAACCCTCCTACACTGTTGATGGGACTATAAATTTCTGCAGCCATTACAGAAAATAGTATGGAGTTTCCTCAAACAACTACAAATAGAACTGCCATATGATCCAGCAATTTCAGGAAATCATCATGAAATAATTTTCCCTAAATTCATCCATGTTGCTGCAAATGGCAGGATTTCATTCTTTTTTATGGCAGAGTAGTATTCCATCAAGTATATATACCACATTTTCCTTACCCAGTTGTATACTGATGGACACTTAGGTTGGTTCCAACTCTTGGCTACTGTAAATAGAGCTGCAGTAAACATGGAAGTACAGGTATTCCTTCAACATGATGATTTCCATTCCAAAGGAATACCTGTACTTCCATGTTTACTGCAGCTCTATTTACAGTAGCCAAGAGTTGGAACCAACCTCAAGTATATATACCACATTTTCCTTACCCAGTTGTATACTGATGGACACTTAGGTTGGTTCCAACTCTTGGCTACTGTAAATAGAGCTGCAGTAAACATGGAAGTACAGGTATCACTTCAACATGATGATTTCCATTCCAAAGGAATACCTGTACTTCCATGTATACTGCAGCTCTATTTACAGTAGCCAAGAGTTGGAACCAACCTAAGTGTCCATCAGTATACAACTGGGTAAGGAAAATGTGGTATATATACTTGATGGAATACTACTCTGCCATAAAAAAGAATGAAATCCTGCCATTTGCAGCAACATGGATGAATTTAGGGAAAATTATTTTAAGTGAAATAAGCCAGGTACAGAAAGAGAAATACTGCATGTCCTCACTCATAAGTGAGAAATTTTTATTCCTTTGTTTTGTCAAGCGGCAGTTTAACTGATTTTACCCTCCTTACTTCCTCGGTCTGCCCCAACTCTGTATTCAACATTTCTTGACAGCCTCCTTCCCTCCATTATGAAGACATCATGGTGGTAAACTGCGACTTATTGAAAATGACTAGGAAGTAAAATATTCTGCCTTAGGGCACAATCTGTAATAACACTTAAATCTAGGTTCTGTGGAAGATGTTCATAAGGCCTAAGAATCTTCATTATGTATTATAGATAGATAGAATTAGTATATTTAGACTGAATTGGCCATATGTCGTATTTGTTAAGTAACTATTTTTTGATAATAATTTTTTAATAAAAGCTTATATGCTCAGTTTCTGAGATCATCTTATAAAACCAGTTTAGAATGGGTGAAGTCTAGTTATTTGAATGGCTTTGGTAAATAAGAGTTTTAAATATATTTCTTATGGTTCATACTTGATTAAGCTAACATTTAGCTAGAGTTTGATTTTAGTTTAGTTTGATTTGAGCTGCTTAATAGTGGCCAAGGAGATTATTCCGTGTTGAATGTGTGAGATGTATTTTTTAAACCTTTTTTTTTTTAATAAAAAATCTATTACAAAATTATTTTAAAATAATTCATGTGTAGGGTGCATTTGTTGAATTCAGTTATTTCATTTTTGTCAGTTAAAAGGTTTTTTGTCCATTGGAGTAGAAATTTCAACCATAAATATCCTGAGAAGTTATATGGGAAGGAATTGTTAGTCAATGAGTCTAACACAAGTAAAGTACTCCAAAAAGTATGGAACACAAAAAATTTTTAGAAATTAAAAAATAATGTAGTGACTTTGACAACCACATTATTACTTGTCCAGCTGATTTGGGGAGAGGTTAGTATTTAAATGTCTTAAATGATAGACATTTAAAAGGTGTTAGAGCTGACTCATTTTGTAAAATGGACCCAAATCAAAGGTATTTTTCATTATATAGACTTTGTCTTTGAGATACTGATAAATTAGGCCCATCAAGCTTTGTTGTAACTTCAGTAGTCTGCTTATCTACTGAAAACTGAACTGTGTATTATATAGATCCTGGATTTGTTGGAAGGTAGCAATGCTCTATTAATATTTAAATTTTCTGGTTATTGATATTAATGACCCTTATGAGTCATGTATGTTTTATTAATTGCTGTAAACGCATTTCATTCATGTATCCTTCAAATTTTATTTGAATTTGGTTATTTCTAATGATAGCACCCTCTTAGTTTAAAATGGTTCTTCAATTTTTCTTAAAGTTTGTAAGTTGGTAGTTAAAATGTGAACATTCAAGAGATCTTTTTTATGAGTGTGAATTAACACGAGAAGAAAAACAGCTGGCAAATTGACAGTAGCATTGTTAAACAGTTCATTTCTTCTGTTCTAAGGCACCTAACATTTGGCCTAAAACTCCATTAAAATTTTAGATTAAATTCTATTAGTATTGTGTAGTAAAAAGAGTATTCTCTCCTTCTGTTAAATTAAATTCTTTGTGGGAACCTTTGTAAATTGCATTTGGAGATTTGTCTATGATTACCTTAGCTGCCTTTTACATGAATGCTTTTCTAATACCATTTTGAAAGTCCAGATATATATTATATGTATGATTTAACAATCTAACGTTCTTGATATCTTTTGTATACGTACATATAACATGTACACATATGGGGTCATAGACACTATTTTAAGGCCATGTCACTGCATTGGATATGATCATTCAGTTTGTTTTCTAAATCCTTACTAATTGTTAAAATGTACTTAGTGAAGATGCTGTACGATTTCATATTTCACTCAGTCTGGTCATATTTGATATTTGAGCATTTCTCCCATTCCTGAGCTTTAAGTTTTCATCCTTATTTCTGTTAACTCTGAGGAAGTTTGGAAGACTTATAACTGATTTACAGAGTTTCATTTAGTCTCTTTGGAGGCTGTTTTTAACCGTAGTATACTTAGTTAAAAAAAAAAAAAATCATTCCTGGGGCCGTCCCATAGCTCACTTGGAAGAGTGTGGTGCTGACAACACCAAGTCAGGGGTTAAGATCCCCTTACCGGTCATCTTTAAAAAAAAAAAATCATTCCTGAGGGAGATGGCTTTTTTGTTTATTTCAGGCCACATAGTTACATTGCTTTTAAATATTTCATTGTGAGGTGGGATAATAAACCAGGCTTACAAAAAAAGTTGCAAAGACAGTACAAATAGCTCCTGTATATCCTTCAACCATCTTCCCCAAATGTTAATATAAAAATGAAAAAATTAGTGTTGTTACAATACTATTAATTAATCTATAATCCTTTCTTTACCATTTGTCCCACTAATGTCTTTTTTTCTGGGTCAGGGTTTAATCCAGGATTATGTAATGTGTTTAGTTATCATTCTTTAATATCCTCCAATCTGGAACAGTTCCTCAGTCTTTATCTTTCATGACCTTCCCACTTTTGAAGAATACTGGCCAGTTATTTTGAAAAAATGTGTCTCAGTTTTGGTTTGTCTGATGTTTCTTTGTGATCAAATTCAAATTATACATTTTAGCAAGAATACCAAAGAAGTTATGTGCTCTTCTTGGTGCAGAATATCAGGAGGAATGTAATGTTGATATGTCTGATGATTGATGATGTTAACTTTGATCACTTGGTTAAGGTAGTCTCTCCACTCTAAGGTTACTGTTTTTTCCCTTTGTACTTAATAAATTCAGGGGTATTTCAAAAAGTTCATGGAAAGATTTGTATTATCTTTCAATTCCATTTTTCTATGGATTTTTTGAAGTACCCTTGTTCTTACGAGAAACTTTGAGACATGCAATCCTGTTTCTCATACCATGTCTCCTAATCATTAATCTCCCACTGATGATTCTTGGTCACAACAGTTATTGTTTGCTATTTGCAAATGGTGATTTTCTCTTTTTATCATTCCTTCTCTACATCTGTCCACTGGAATTCACTATAAGGAAAAGCTCTCCCATTCATCTGTCTCTCTTTCTCTTTCTTTATATCAGTATGGATATTTTGTTCTCTGGTTTATGTCCATTATTATTATTATTCACTTTATTGCTCAAATTTTCTTAGATTTAGCCATTGGGAACTCCTTTAAGTTGGCTTCTGTATCCTTTTGATGTGAGAAGGTAGTTTTTGAAGAGGAAGAAAAAGGGTGCTCAGACTTAGCAAGGGTCAGTAATTGAGGTAGGATAAGTGGCATATGATAAGGTATGAGGTTTAGGAAGAGAGAAGCAAATTTGTGCCACGCAGGGTCTGTGTGCTGAAAGGTTGGTGCCAGCTGGAGACACATCTCCACATGCTGTCATAGCAATGATAGCCACTGCTTGCCACTGCCTTTTTTTTTTTTTTTTGACTGGTAAGGGGATCGCAGCCCTCGGCATGGTATGGTCTGCACCACGCTCAGCCAGTGAGCACACCGGCCATCCCTATATAGGATCCGAACCCGCGGCCTCAGCGCTACCAGCGCCACACTCCTCTGAATGAGCCACGGGGCCGGCCCTGCCACTGCTCTTTTGATCTTGGTTTCTTCATCAAATTGTTTGGTTTTTCTATTCCTGATGTCCAGATTGTATTTATTTTTAGCTCATCCTTCTCTACTTTGTTCCCTCAGTCTGTTTGCCCATCTCCTTCCTCTACTCCTGGATATTTGGCGTTTTTACTCTCTGTTATATCTCCTGGTTGTTTTATCCTATATCTTGATAATATGACATTTTTCTTACCTAAAACAATCTTATATTTTCTGTCAGTCTCCATTCAGGTATAGCTTTTCTAGGAAACTTTCCCAATTTGACCTACTCAGATTTTCTTCTGCTGCTTCTTTATATAATCACTGATTGTGATTTGATTACCTTAGCATTTTCCATCTGTACAGTCTAGAGTCTAGACTGGTTTAAGCTCCATAAAGCTATTGATGTTGTCTGTGTTTGTCCTCTCTCTCTCTCTCTCTCAAGGTATCGAGTGCATCATGTGATAGCTTTTTAAACTCAACCCAGAATTATCAGCATGTATCAATCCTATTTGTCCTTCTCTATCCTGAGGCTATATCATGTTTTGACTAGAGAGAGCTTAGGAGAGTTTCTTCTAGTATGTTTAAATTATCTGTGTAGAAAAAAATGTTACTGATATTTATTTCATTGTTTTTTATTTTTTAAATTATAGCCAGGATTGAACAGACAGAGTCTTTCTTTTGGCCTCAGCTTTAGTGATTTACTTTTTCCTGCCCAGAATCTTTTAAATCTCTTGAGCCAGGAGAATCCAAACAAATGACAAGTTCATAGTATTGTTGTCAGAGCACTTAATGTACTTTGAAAAGGGTATAACTTGCCCCTATTTTATCAATATAGATTTTTAAAATAATGAAAATTGATTTTAGTCAGTATTTTCATGTCCATATGTATTCCATGCATTTCATGTAACTGTTCTTGCTTGCAGTGATGGTGCCAATGAATGGAACCAGGTTTCTTGTTTCTATCGTAATGCTGCCTTTCTCAAGGGGCAGACATTTCATATTATGTCTGTTAACTATGGCAGTACAAAATATTGTCAACATCTACACATAGGGACCTAATGTGTGGTCCTTTAGCAGGAAAACATGCTTTTGAAACTGTACTATTTGTAATACAGGTATGCCTCAAATGCTGTCTCAAAACAGCCACACGAGGAACTGTGCATAACATTAGTCGAGTAGAGGAAAAAAGTGTTACTATTGTCAAGATATGTGCATTAAGTGTCATGTTTTTGTTAAGTTATTTTGATTATGCAGGTTACAGTAACTAATACTAATACTTGTCTGACTATATATTAAGTATGTTTTGACACATACTGCTAATAGCTGCCATTACTTCTAGATAACAAAACAGCTTCAATAAGATCAGAGAAAACGGCATTTCATTATAAAATGCTGATGTAATGGGTAAAAGTTTTTGTTTTATTTTCCAATAGTTTTAGTAACATGGAACAGACAAGAGAAAGATTGAATGTGTCCCTATAATACTGACTAAACTGGCATTTTAAATGAAAGTAAAATCCTTTTGTTTTCCACTGCATCCTCAGTTTACCTGTTTTGGCACAACTCTAAAGAAAGCCAATCTACTTTCCTTCCATGGCGTAGGAGGCTGGGTAGAGAATGAGACTATAGCTTAAGCAGTCATTCACAAAATCTTGCCTTCAAGTTTCTAGATGTTAGTCAGATTTCATTTAACTTAAAGCCCTTGTGGGGATTTTGTCTGTTTGTTTTTTAGGGTGACGCAGACTTACGATGCAGGCGCATGTATCTACTTCTATTTTGCCTTTAACTACAGGGGAATTAGTGACCCACTGACCGTTTTTGAACAAACTGAGGTAATTTTGCATACATGTATATAGCTTTTACATTCTTTTATTAATTTAAATAAACTTACTGTCAGTTTATGAATTTTAATTTGACTCTCTTTAATCACACATGATTTGCCTGGCTGCTAGCCTATAAAAATGGAAGCATATTTGTTGCACTGGATTACGTCCACTAAATTGTGAGTCTATAATTAATATTCAGACTGTGATTCTTTCGTGATTACTTACAGAACATATTAGCTGATTAAATTAAATAATAATAATGACTGTCTACACGAGTCATTCCAATCAAAATAATGAACATATATGTCACCCCCCAAAAGTTTGAGTATTTTTCATTATCTTAGCTTTGGTGTTGCTCTCTGACTACCCAAAGGTCCCTTCCTTGCAGTACCAAAGAGTGAAATTATTCCTTCTTTTCCAGTTCAAGCTGCCATTGTCCAAGTATTACTCATCTCAAGTAATTATTGCTTTATTTAAAGTAATTTGTTAGAAAATATAAGTCCTTAGCAGGGACTAGCGTATTTGCAAAACCCTAAAACTAAGTAATGAGGATTCTTATAGATTACTTTGCAATGCAGTATGGTCCCTCTGTCCTGTCTGTGTTCTCTTCTACCCTGACCTAACTCCTGATGGTTTGTATACACTTGAGTAATTCAGAGAGGTTCAAGGCATTATAGATATTTCACATCACAGCAATTATATATTCATGAATCTTTAGGAATCGAAAGTAATTCTAGTTTCCATTACCCGTTTTCACTCTGCATTTCAGTCATTCTATATTTTGTTTTAAGTGTTTATCATTCTAACCTGAATGTTCTATAAGGAGCTTAGTCAGCACCTAACATGTTAGGAGAATAAAATAAGGGTTTCGTTTTTTTATCCCCTCATGCTTAGATATTCATAGGACTAACAAGTAATTTGTCCAAAGTCATTGACTTAAGTGTTCTTTATAAGGGCTTTTATGTTTGATCCCTGATAGCTTTGTTAAGTAATCTTGACTCTTATGCCCACTGTGTGATATTAGGCTACTAACCATCCTAAACCTTTTTCTTTATCTGTGAAAGGGGAATAATTGTAATTATTCCACAAGGCTCTAGTGAAAATAAATGAGATACTGCAGACAAATTTCTTGGTTCATTTCTGGACATATAGGAAGCAGTCCGTAAATGTTATTCATTAATACTTGTTGGGATGATTAGAAGTTCACTACAAAGTAGAACCTGGCTCTGCATTCACAACTTCTGATTTATTATTAACAATTTAAGGCTGCTGAACTGGTCATTTTGCCCTTTCCCCCCCCAGAATCTCAAAGTGACCTTTGTAGATGTGATTATTCACTGGAAGGAAAACTTCAAAGCTAGGCTTTTTTTTTTTTAAACTGCTTTTTTAACACAGTTAATCTAAGAGAGAAGAAAATTAGGCTTCTACTTTATTATTTAACCCAGGAAATATGTGCCTCCTTTAGGAGTTGGGTCTTATAAGTAGCAATGATTTGTTCTTTTGTTTCCAAATACAGGCAGCTGCTAGAGAAGAAATCCTCGCTAATGGAGGGAGCCTGTCGCATCACCATGGAGGTATTCTTTTTTGGGAGTAGGATTTCTGGTATTCCTACTTTTAAGAGTGTTTGAATCAGCAAAATGCTGGAGACAGTGATGATTGAGTATTTTGAGAGCACTTGAGATCTCTTGAAAGTTTTTATGTCTTAGAATAGCTGTCACTGAGGTAGTTAGGTTGTGGTAGTAACCACCAGAAGCTTGATTGGCAAGACTGCCCTAGATATGGAACCTATCCAGCCTTCTCAGTGCTCAGTGACCTCATGTTACCAGAGAATAGCCCAGCTTGCCTGGTAGATATTTGACCACTGTAGCAAAAGTTTTTAAAGGAAAAAGAAATCCTTCCTAAATGTTTTTCAGCCACTGTTAGAATGTAGCCGGGCGCCGCTTGGGAGCGTGGTGGCGCTCCCGCCGAGGGTTCGGATCCCACATACAGACCGGTTCCCGCTCACTGGCTGAGCGAGGTGTGGGAGCAACACCGAGGGTTGCGGTCCCGTTGCCGGTCCCGGTCTGGGCGCGACACTGAGGGTTGCGATCTGTTGCCGGACACGGAAAAAGACAAAAAAAAAAGAATGTAGCCGGCCATCAGTTGTACCATATATTGAAGAGCTGTTTGTTCTGCGCGCGACACTGAGGGTTGTGATCTGTTGCCGGACACGGAAAAAGACAAAAAAAAAAAAGAATGTAGCCGGCCATCAGTTGTACCATATATTGAAGAGCTGTTTGTTCTGCCCATCCAAAATTCAGCAAATTAATCAAGACAAGATATTAATAAAAGTCTTTTTTAGAGATTTTAATGTTGTTTTGCTATTTACTTGATGATCATTTTTGTAAGTATCAAGTTTTACCAGAGAATTTATCACATGACCAATAAAAATTATTATATCTACCTTCGTTACTAGCAAGCTTATGAAAGTAGTATGAAGTGGTATTTTTAAAAAACAAAGGCCATTCTGATATTAAAATTGTAATTTTTGAAGTCATCCACCTGTTCTCTATAACAGAAATTTTTTCTTAATAGAGAGTGAGCATCACTAATCTAAATTCAAAATCCAAAATGCTCCAAAATTTGAAACTTTTTGAGCACAGACATAACACTCAAGAAATGCTAATTGAAGCATTTCAGATTTCAGATTTTCAGATTAAGGATGCTTAACTAAGTTAAATATCTACAAATATTTCAAAATCTGAAAGTATTTGAACCTGTATATTCCTCAATATAACTTGATGCTTAGGAAAATAGAAAAGTGTAGATTTTTAAATATTTTTTTAGGGAAGGGCATGAGGATAAATGACTACTCAATTTAAAAATTCAACTGGACTCTCCATATCCCTCTTTTCCTGTTTTATTTTCTTCATAGCACTTATCATTATCTAATATGGTATATATTTGTACTTTTTAAGATTATCTCTTTCTACTGGAAAGTGAGGATCCAGGAGGACAGGGATTTTTCTTTTGTTTGGTGGTGTATACCAGTACCTAGAACAGTGGTTGGCCCAGTCATCCCTCTGTACGTTTGTGCAGAATGAATGAAAGAATTTTGGTGGAAAAAGGAATGGACTATAGAGGGTTTGTGTCCATATATCGTTCTTGCAGCCAGGCCTGGAGAAGATTGCTAATGTGAATGAAAAATAGAAAGAGTTCCCAACATAATGTAATAATTTAAGTGTTTGCTATCACCTTACTTTTTTCTTAACACCCATAACTAAATTTTTAACTTAGTTGGCTGATAAGCATTAGTGTGAATGAATTTGCACTTTCCCTCCTTTTCCTATTTATTGTCCTTTCTTTTGACAGAGGTTCTAATGAATGTTAGAATGATAGAAATGAAGAAGGGAGGAAAATGGATATCAGAAACCTCTCAAGTGGAATTCAAAACTTCTTATTACTGTATAAATCTAAACATAATTTTGGAAATTTAAGCAAGAATTACTTCATAAAGATAATTAGATTTTAGCACCTTCCTTTAATATGTTCAAAAAGCCATATACATTATTTAAAATCTTTTTTATTCTATTTCAGAATGACATTGTATTAATATCCAAGGAACTTTTAAAAAATAGATATCATGAAGTATTTATGTTCTTCATGTTAAATTGATTGCATGGGGGGAGGAGGCAAAATAATTTAACCATAATTACTTGTTTGAAGAAAAATTAAAATTTCCTTTCTGTAGCCAACAATTTGGTCCTTTGGTACATGTCAGTAGGCAAGTGCACCTTCTTTAAAATCAGAATTCGTAGGTTCCATGTTTATAATGGTAAATATGAGAGAGATTCTGGGAGAGCATGAGAATAGCTGAATCATATAAGGAGGACATAGAGGCTTAATTGTCATTTAGGTAATTAGTTATATTAGATGAGCTGTTTCCTTAATTGTGGAATGATGTTCAGTTTACTCAAGCTTTACAGCATTAGCAATTTTATAGAAGCTGGAAATGACCAAATGACCTGCAACATTGCAGAGGAAAACCAAAGCAGCAGTTTTTTTCTTGGACAATGATTCTTTATTTCTTTAGGATCTTATGAGGAGGATATTCAAGTTCCTTCAGTGGTGTCTATATGTGAGATGCTGGAAGTGTAATATGGCAGAACGACTAGTGTTACTTATTCAGATATACCCCAGGTACTGAGAGCTTCTTGGTAGGCTCTAACAGAACCTATATAAACATACTTGAAATATTGTATATGTAAAGTTGTCATTACAGAAAAAGGGAAATATGAACAAATTTAAAATAATAGAATTAATTCTAGTACAAATTTATTTGAAATTTGGATTTTATTTGTAAAAGTTCTGGTAATGGTCCATTATATTAATGCACAGAAATAGAAGGTAATAAAAAATAATAGTTGGAAATGTAAACCTTGACCTATAAAATCATGATTATTCAATTCTTGGTCCCCAAGCAAATAATGTAAATAGCTCCCTGTGATATTTTTGATATAGTATACTTAATTCCTTTTAATATTGCATTACCTGTTTTCCATATTATAAATATTACTGGTCTGCTAGGCAATAGAGATTCAAAGAATGGCAGTCCTTCCCTTTATAAGGACCTTTTAGTCCAGTAGAATAAAATATTATAGCATTTTAAAAACCACTGATCAAAACTGGTAGGATTATGGTATCACGACTTTTACTAAGGTAAAAGTCTACCCTTTTCTTTGAAAAGCACTTGAAAAGGTGACTTTAATAAACATGTAAATGTTATTGATGCTGAAACAGTGAAGAGGAGAGTGATAGAAAAAGGGGAAAGAATTAGCATTTATAAAGCTGTAAATGTTTGCTAGATGCTTTGCATAATTTAATCGCCTTTAATCCTGCTCAAAATGCCATGGAGTAGATATTATTCCTGTCTTTCGAATGAGGACAGTAAGGCTCTTGAGTATATAGTAACTAGCCCCCAAATCAGCAATAATTGTTAGTGGCAGAATTTGAACTCAGGTCCTCCTGCCTCAGTATTCCTGTTCTTTTATTTAAGAAAATCTGAAAAGATTGAAATTGACAACCTTTGAAAAGAGATACATAATAAATGTTAAAAATATATATGAAAAAAATACTATATGTTATTTTCTTTTAAAATGTAAAATCTGTTTCTTTAATTTTGACATTGTCTAATTATTTGCCCTGCTTCAGATGAAACAGATAAATAGAAATGGATCAAAATTTTAATTTCCTCATCATAGATATTTTCATGGTTTTGTCAGTTCTTGCCTGTAAGTCAGTTTTACTTTCTGGTTGTTTTTATACTTCTGGATTGTAGGCTCACAACATGTCAGCAATATCAAGTAATAAAACTAATGGAGGTCAGATAATGTTACAATAAACCTACTTATATAATTTATGTGCATTTTCAGGTTTTAGGCTTATTGGGTTTTATTTGTTGAAGACTCCAAAGTTGCTGAAATAGTTTATTTTTAGAAATTATTGGCTAAAAGTTGAATGTAGCAAGATTTGATTACATTATTAATTTATTGAGAGGTTATTTCTATCCTATTTCTCATATTTCTGTTTTCTATGTGGTCAAAATATGACTGCATGGAAACATACTGTAAACACCTAGTTTCCTCTAGTGCTTAGAAAAAGAAACCAGGTGAGTCTGAATATACTTCAGATGTGCCAAGAAAGTAAAGATGCTTTCCCTTCTCTAGCTTTTCCTCCTCTAAACTTCTAAACATTGGAGGCTCTAGGGCTCAGCCCTTCATTCCTCTATGTTCACTCACTTCCTCAGTAATTATCTCAATCCCCCGACTTAAAAGACCATCCATGTGCTGGTGACTGCCAGGTACCAAAAGACATCATCTCTACCACCACCCCCCTAGTTCAGATCACTATCTTCTCCTGTTGATACTACTGCAGTGGTCTCCTAACTGGTCTCTGTGCATCCTCTCTGCTCCCCTACTCTCATTTCTTTTGCTGCCAGAGTAATCTTTAAAAAATCAGTGATATCTCCTCACGTTCAGAATAAAATCCAAATTCCTTATCAGAGCCTTCAAGGATATGTGTGGTATAGCTGACTCTCTATCCTCATCTCTGATTACTTTCTCTTTCTAGCAGCATTGGCCTTCTCGTTATTCCTCAGATGTATCAACGTCCTTTTTCCTTCAAGGCCTTTGGTATTTGTTCCCTCTTTTTCTCATACTCTTTCTCTTGTTCTTCCCTTAGATATTTGCATGGCTCACTTTTCCCCATCATTTAGGTCTCTGATAAAAATGTCAGCTTAAGTGTGTTTTCCCTGTTCTCTGTGTACTTTTTGTGTTCCCCATTTGAATTTTAAGTTCAATGAGGTTACTGACTTTATCTTGTCACTGTATTCCCCAGTCCCTAGAACAGTGATTGGCTGCTGTATATAGTTCTTCGTAGTAGATGCTCAATTAATATGCTGAGTGAATAAGTGAATGCCCAAATGTTCACAGAATTTGGTTGTTTTGTAAATTCCCAAATAGCTCTGAATCTTTCATGTTAGAATGGCAATTGTCTCATTGCTAATTTAACTTCATTTAATAACTAGGCCTTGTTT